TGCGTTTTCTCTTGTAATGGCGCGGCTTTCTCTGAGTTTCCCCAAATGAGCAGTTGGAGACAATGTGCGCTACATGTGTGTCGTGCGCTTACGGTCTTGCAGATTGAGCAGACGATAAAAAACATGCAGAGAGCATATGTCGCGAACAGTTTCCTATAGAAGTTGTTTTTCTTTTTCAGAATATCTCTTTGCATTTATTTTATCAGTAAGAGATATCACAGGAATTGAACACACGAAAATAGAAACCTTTCAAGTCTAAAAGTTTTAACACTTTAGTGTATAAATAATCGTCATACAACAGTCATTTTATTGTTTCCACACTTTGAATTCATCATTTATCTTTCAATTTTATAGCTACTCCACGAAGGAATATTATCTTTTAGTCACTTCGAAATTTTCTAAATATAGGGTTAACCACCATATATCGATTTCTTGATAAAATTCCCGAAACACTTAGACCAAAATTTTTCATTTTCTTTAAAAAATATATATTTTTATGTTATTTAAGCGATTTTAAAAAACCGGTACTCGAAAAGTTGTAAAAAACAAATATTTGTACTTAAAAAAATTAGTTGTAACCCTATAGGGTATAAACAATTGACATAGAACTGCCATTTTATAACGATTTGTCATTGGAATGATATCAATATTCAATTTTATTTAGAGATATTAAAAAAAGTTCATTTCCGCCGGTGATTTTGAAAGGTTGCTTTCACCCCTTAAACACACTTCTCCGCCAATAAAAAAAATACGTATCTCTTATTTTTCTATGTTTTAAAACATATTACAGTCATATAAAAATCAAAGGCAGACACCTCACAAGGTTTTCTTGTCAGATATACTTCAACACGGTAAACCACAAGTATCTCTAAAGAAAACACACTCTAAAGCAGCTCATATGCCTGTTTTTGCAAATAAGTATTAGATCATGTGTTCATTGCAGTGCAAAAAAGGATTAGAAGAGAATCAAATGGAAATGTATAACCTGTATGTACCACTTTGCATTTCCCCTGAAAGAAATTGTTTTCACAATTATCGTAGCTGAATAAATCTAAATAGTTATTTGCTAATAATCAGACAAAATAAAAAAATAAAAAATTTTATTTAAATAAAGAAAAATAAAAAAATAAAAATAAATAGATAAAAGAAGTTAAAAAATTAAAGAAAAAGTTAGAACATTTTCAAGCCTCTTCAACTTCTTTTTATTAGTTCAATGGATCCATAATTAAAAATAATCGAAATAAATCTGACATTGTCTAGATTTTTTATAATTGATCTCAAAAATCCATCACTAAAAAATCCCTTCAATGTTCTTGTGAAATAGTAATACAGAATCCACAATCTCAAATCCGCCTTTTTAAATCTTGAAAATCCTAACCGATTTTCTGATTTCTGACTGATTTAGAACTGGTACACCAGAAAGATGAAAAACTACATCAAATTTTTTTTTCACTCATTCAATATTATTCCACATGTAACGGGATGGATTAACTGATGCGAATTGAGTTTATTTAAGAACAATCTCCCACGATGCAGAGTTAACCGTCGCTCCGTTAATCACGTATGAGCATACGTGTATTCACAATACTCCAATGTCTCCTTTCCAATTGAGTTGAACTCACCTTAAGTCACCTGACTTGTGACATTTGCTTTCACTTAGGTATACATAGACTAATATTTCTTTCCACTATTCCCTAGATGAAATCGGTTTAAAAAAATATCAGGTGACGGATCCGTTAAATTAATGAAAATCAAAACTTTTATAATAATAAAAGTTACAGTCTTTGGTGGGCCGAAAGACTTGCGTACGCGTATAATATTTACAATTATCCGGGGAGAGAGAGAGAAAGAGAGAATTCGAAATTCTATCGCGAAATATAACGCTCGGCATGAATGCGATAACGATCACGTATAATAAAATACTTTCGGAAGTATTTTGTCCCGCGGAAAAAAGGAGATGCACCTACCCTGCGGTGCAATTACGGTGATCAGCCGTAATTGATGTTGGTAAACGATTTCTACTCCCGGGGGATGCTGCGACGATTTCACCTTAGCTACCGGATCGGCTGTTGCTCGTCCAATTCCTCGCAGCTCTTAATTCAGTTGCTTTTCCTCACTCCTCTATATCACCCACGTACTAAAACCAGAAAAACTTTCTATCGGCAAACGGCAAAAAAAACAAGATAACAATTTCAGCGGTTTTCCGAACAACAGCTGAGGCTATACTGAAAAATTAAACTCGCGCGCGCCTCCTCTCTCTTCTAAACGTTCGCTCTCGCACTTCGAGTATGTCGAATCGTGTACGTATCGATTGTTCGAATCGACTACCGTTGCACACAATAAATATCATGAATTTTGCACAAAAAAATGAATTTTCTCTTTTTTTTGGTTTTAGAAAAATTTTTCTCTTTTTTTTGCAAAATTCATGATATTTATTATAGAATAATATTGAATGAGTAAAAAAAAATTTGATATAGTTTTTCATCTTTTTGGCGTACCAGCTGTGAAAAAAAATTCTAAAATCGACAAAAATATTTTTTCGAAAAAATAAAAAAATAATAGTACAGTATTTCATTTACAAAAACAAACATTTATTTCTCCTATACATTTTTTTGTACTTTTGGAATTTACAGAGATAAAAAATGTTTAAAAAAACTGTCACTTCCTGGAAAAAATGCCAGTGCGCGCATCAGTTTTGATGAAAATAATTTTTTGACCAGTGATTCAGATAGAGCTTGATAAAATCTAAAAATGCTCTAATAATCAAAAAATTAAAAACAATCGATGGCATCCATAAATCATACTATTTGAAAGTTCTTGGAAAGACCTTTCAAACACGCCTTCGGAGGACTCTGTACGTTAATTTTAAAGTTTTGACTAATTTTGAAGCGGGGGCCCAAAGTAGGTGATCGGCAGTACGAGGTGTGATCAAAAAGTAAGGTGAATTTTGAAATTTAGCGGGCTACGTCCGTTCGATCTTCGACTTTTTTATTTGGTTATGTCGGTACACTCGTCTAGAACATACGTTCCAAATTTCTGCTTTGTAGTATGTTTGGTTTGTTTGTGAGAGGCATCAAGGTTAGAAGTGTTTTGCGTGCTCCACGATTTGCTGCTGTCTAAAAACATGGATCAAAGAGTTTGCATTAAATTTTGTGTGAAAAATGGAATCAAATGTTCCAAAACACTTGAAATGCTGAAAGTGGCATACGGTGAGTCTACTTTAAGCCAAAAAAATGTTTACAAGTGGTATAAACTCTTCCAAGAAGGCCGAGAAGACACCGACGACAAACCTCGTTCTGGACGCCCCAGCACATCAACAACTGATGAGAATGTTGAAGAAGTGAAGAAAATAGTGTTGGGAAATCGTCGAATTACCATTAGAGAAATTACTGATGATATTGGCATCTCATTTGGTTCGTGCCAATCAATTTTGACGAGTGTTTTAGACATGAGACGTGTGTCAGCGAAGTTTGTTCCGAAATTGCTCAATTTCGACCAAAAGAAACGTCGCATGAGCATCGCCCAAGAGCTACTGAATGACGTCAACGATGATCCAGATTTACTCAACAGGGTTATAACAAGTGACGAAACATGGGTATACGGTTATGACGTCGAGACTAAGACTCAATCGTCCCAGTGGAGGCATTCTGGATCACCAAGACCAAAAAAAGCACGCCAAGTTCGATCAAATGTAAAGGTTTTGCTTACAGTTTTCTTTGACTGCAGACGCGTGGTGCATCATGAGTTCTTGCCACAGGGTAGAACAGTAAATAAGGAATATTACCTGCAAGTTATGCGCAATTTGCGCGAAGCAATTCGCCAGAAACGTCCGAATTTGTGGAAAAATAAAAATTGGCTTTTACACCATGATAACGCCCCTGCTCACACATCGTTGCTTGTGCGCGAATTTTTGGCTAAAACCAACACAGTAACGATACCACAGGCACCGTATTACCCAGATCTGGCCCCCTGTGACTTCTTCTTGTTCCCAAAACTGAAGAGGCCCATGAAAGGACGGCGTTTTGCCACGATTGAGGAGATAAAGACGGCATCGAAGGATGAACTAAACAAGATCACAAAAAATGATTTTTTGAAATGCTTTGAGGATTGGAAAAAGCGTTGGCACAAGTGCATTATATCCGAGGGGGATTACTTTGAAGGAGATAAAATAAAAATTGATGAATAAATAAATATTTTTTGAGAAAAATAAAAATTCACCGTACTTTTTGATCACACCTCGTATATTAATATGAATAGTTTGTTTTTATTATAAAACCTGTTAATGTATTATTTATATAAAATAAAAGTTTTCTATACATATAATTAGTATATATAAACTATAATATATAAAGTTATTATTTCTGTAACGAGATTTATTTTATTTAATCTTAAAACTACCTTGACCTCAATCCGATCTGATTAAAATGGCTTCGGATTCGAATTTAACGTTATCGAAAATATAATTCATACGTAGTCTGATCTATATTTTATGGGAATCAGGGTTTATTTTATATATCGCCTAATCATACAGCGTTTTTCTGGTGTATTGATGTTGATAGGTTGTGACCATAAGAACTTTTGTTCAGGACCTCATGATCTATCTTTTCCAAAAGTTTCGTCCAATTTGACCGAATAATTTTTTCCCGTATAATATATGCGAGGTCCTTTCTCAAAACTTGATATTTTTTGAAGTTCAGATTACATTTACCGTACATTAACTTGTACTTATATTCTACACGTAACTTGAAACTTGAAATTATATAATTATAAAGAAAATTCTCTGCTATAAGTGGAATTAAACATGTATCAATCCTAAAGGCCTTTTTTCGTGGTATTAGTAGGTTGTTTGTTCTTTTTTCTATATTAATGTTTAGATTAACCAATCAATGGAATCTTCCAAATATACAATTATATTTTGTTAGAAGTAGATAGCCATGTCGACATAATTCTACAAATTTATATTTATATACATTGTATTATTTTCTACTTTCTTATTTCAGGTTGGGATCATACTGAGACAATTGACTCTCTTCTTCACAAAGGTGGATATAAAGGACTAATAACACCAGATATTCGACGTAGTATAAAATTAACCAGATATCAAAGTGAGCAAGTCACAGTTAGTTATCAAGATTATATGATTAATTGGTGTAATCGTCGTTGCTAGCACATAAAAAAGGACTCTCATCAGAGTCCACTGTTAATTTTAAGTTACATTTTGATCTTGAGTCACTTAATTTAATATGCAAACTAAATGTATAATTGTTTTATTCCGTTAAGAAGTAATGATTTTGTGATCAATATTCAACTTCCTCGGAACTGACTATCTATAATGCTTTACAATTACTAAATTTATTAATCCCACTAGAGAATTTATAACTATTAATGATTGACTGATTTATCTTTCAAAAATTCCCACATTTTACATATAAGTTCCTTCGGGATGAAAATATATGATAAATTTCATATTTTGATCGATGTTTACTGTAAATCACATTTAGATACCTTTATGAAACATGTACTTTTACTGTAATAGGGTTTTTGGCTACCCGTATAAACAAGTTGTTGAAACTTTATATAATTTAATTATATAATTTTTTGTCCAAAGTCTACAACCGTTAATCTAAGCTAATTAAAATATATTCTATTTTTGAAACCAAATTGCCAATTTTCCTTGTAACAAAATAGTAAGTTTGTTTTAGATACAAGGTTTTTTTATGTAAGAACATTTTCCTAGGATTTGTTATTTTGATAAATATGCATAATATTGCTCGTGTTAATTTTCATACTTAAAATCATTTTACTATATTAATCCTCATTGCATATCCTAGAATTGTGTATAAGATATTTCTTTATTCTTAAATTTTATAATCAGAAACTCTAAATTAACACTGATCACAATCTAGCTTATTCAAATCTTTTCTTTTGTAATAAGATCAAGACGCCATGAAATTTTGATCGGAGATCCAATAGAGTGAACTAGTGGTAGATTTAAATGATGCATGACACTATTGCACTGTGAAGTTAGGCTTATATCTTAGTGTTGATGGAAAAGATCACGCTATTCGATCTTCTTAAGGAAAAGGTATCGTCGGGCACACCGGTGTAGGATTTAGTCCGTATCCTGGAGAGGCTTAAAAAAGAGAGTATTTTTCCAGTCATCCGATGGAGATACAATCACAGAGATCGTCACTGGCTTGAAGATTACGTTGTAGTAGCTTGAGAGATAGCTTGCTTATGGCAAGAGAGTTGGAGGTGTCGGAGTAACTCAAATAATAGAGCAGAATAGCCTAATGTAGTGACTTCTATAATGGGCAGTTTCATCGTTAGTTCCCTCTCCGGTTCCTGCTATCGATGAGAAACAAAAATCACCCACAAGGACGTGCATTCTAGTGATGGTTCGGAAACAACTGTATCTAGTAATCATGTTGTAACGATGTTGTCAAACATTCAGTTCGCTGTAGATGCCTGTGCACAATGTCCAAACAAGAAAATGCTCAATTCAACCAGCGCCAAGTGGGAATTTTCAGCCGTTTTTCTGTCGAAATTTCTTCCACAGATCAATTTTTACTCAAATTAGGTAATTTCTTTTTTAAATATTCATTATACTTTGTACTTTAAGAGAATGGTGCTACAAATTCGAAATAATTCACCTCCCAATATCATCCGCTGATGATATCACGCTATTTTGAGAAAATCGTTTTTAAAAATCAAGTAACCACCTGAAATCCGACTTAATTAACCTGATAATCGATAACCAATCGACTGGATATTTGGAAAACTAAATAAAACGATAACATAATAATCTGTTAATCGGATAATCAGATAACCAAATAACCGGATAATGAGATAACCCAACCCGATAACCTGATAATTAGTTTACCTCATATTCCGATAACTAGATAACTGAATAACCTGTGAACCTCATAACCAAATAACCAGATAACCCGATAACCACATAGCCAATTAACCAGATATCTAGTTAATCCGATAACCAGATAACCGAACAACCAGATACTTTACTTTATAATTACATTTATTTACAGATTTATAATTACATTTATTTGATTTATAAAATACAGATTATAGAGATTTCAGTTACCTAGTTATCTTATTATCCGGTTAATAGGTTATTTTATTATCTGGTTATCTAGTTATCCGGGTAATCAAGTCATCTGGTTATTTGGTTATTAGGTTATTAGGTTATGGTCTGTGTTTGTGTGTGTATGTTTCAGACAATAGTTTGCTTAAACTAACTAGTTTACTTCCTATTAATAAAAATTTTCAGATAAAATTAGATTATTTTTGTTGTAGAAAAGACATTTATAACCAAATTTTAGGTTATGTATTGATTTGTCACAAAAAATGTAGAGCTTTATTCAATTATGAAACTATAAAATATATTCAAGGATAGACTTTGATTGATTTAAGTTGATTTCAGTTAGTTACTCTATTTTGAAAAACGATTTTCTCAAAATAGTGTAATATCATTAGCGGCTGTTTTCGGGAGGTGAAATATTTCGGATTTGTAGCATCATTCTCTCAAAGTACAAAGTATAAAAATTATTTATTATACAAAGTATATGATTATCCAGTTTCAGTGAAAATTGACCTGCGAAAGGAATTTCGACACAAAAACGGCTGAAAATTCCCACTGTGCAGCGTTATAAATGAACGGATAGAAATTGTGTTAACTTCACTAAAATAATAAAACGTATATCAATAGATCCTGAATATGTTTTTTCAGATGAATTCATTGAAAAATCAGTCATTATAAAACCATTGTAGTTCAATTTACAATTTATTTCTTTAAAATTATCAAAAAATATAAAAATATATTTTTAATATTACATAGGCATTAGGTAATCATAAATTGGAAAAAAACCTGCTTGAACATGTTCTATTGCAAAAAAAATTGAAGTTACATCCTTATATAATTTACCGTCTTATCTAACAGAAGTAGCTATTGATAAATATTGTAAGAGTAGTTTTTTTTTATCTATAATTTTTTTTTTTTTTATAGATTTTATGCATTAAGACTACAAAATTCTAATACAGTAGTTAGTAAGTTCTACACTGATTTAAATTTACTGACTTACTGACTGATTAAATAATAAAATTTACTAGATGTATTATTTTATACTAAATAATTTATTATGTTATGCATTACGTTATAGCTAGTGAAAGCCACACTCATTATGTCTGCTTCTCTCTAAATATATATCTATATTCATTAATTACAATTATGTGTTTACTATTTTCTATTGCATTCTCATTACTCATTTATTAAATAAATTATTATTATTACGTATGTTGTTCTTCCTACTAAAGCATCAAGGTAAATATAAGAAAAAGCCATCTACCGCAGCGAGAAAGGGATGTATATTCCAGAGAACATGCACAGCACACGAGTACTTAACGATTCTGAGTTGGACAGCTAAACCGTATTATAACTGTGTTTTTTATTTCTTAAGCTACATTACCGATTTATGCGAATTTCTGTGATTCCCATTCGCCCGTCGACTTCAACACGAACAACTCCATATGTGCCGTTTAACAACGCTGGTAAAATTTCGGCGGCTATTTTCCCATAGCAGGACTCACCATAGTCATACTATAGACAGTCGAATATAGTAATGTATGTTTCGGGTCACTGTCTTCGATCAGCCACGTGGTCTAGAGTGGCCAAGACGACTATTTTATCCGTAGTTTTTAGAGTCGTAATGCTTTCTGTCTCGTTTTGGTAGCTAGTGGAATTAAATAATTCTAGGCAAAATTTCATTTGAATCGATATTATATATAATAATAATTATTATATTGTTCAATTATATTAAATATGGAAAAAACGTTGTATTACGTGTTAAGCTAATTTAAAAAAAATGTAAGAAAACGTCTAGAATTAGATTCGTGTCCTCTGGATGCAGAGGCGGGCGCTTTACTACTCGAGGTACTACCAGTCATACTATAGAACAGTTTTTATTGTGTATATTAACTGCACATTTGGTATAGGGCCCGAGCACGCGGAGGAGAGGAGCACGTGCTCTCTTCCGTTCTGACTCAGCGTGGCTTGAGACCCCTCTGTCTTTCATACAGGAGATATTTTGTCTCTCTTTTAACGGAGGCGGCTATACTTATTTGAAATTCTGCTAAATCTGTTGAATGTCATGCTACCCTAGTCTTTTTCGATAAATAGCGGGAGACTGCGAGTGTATTTGTTGACTGCTTTCTCCTTGAGATGTTCTTCCTGAATATCTCGATCGGTCTTACGAAGACAAAACTTAGTAATTCTGTTACGAAGAAAGTTCGTTTTCAAATTTGCCACGAAGAAAGTACGCTTTCAAAAACTGGCACGAAGAAAGTACGTTTTCAAAAACTGCCACGAAGAAAGTACGCTTTCAAAAACTGCCACGAAGAAAGTACGTTTTCAAAAACTGCCACGAAGAAAGTACGTTTTCAAAAACTGCCACGAAGAAAGTACGTTTTCAAAAACTGCCGCGAAGAAAGTACGTTTTCACAAACTGCTTTCTGCTTTCTGTTTTCGTCGCTTCTTTTTCCTTTTTCTCATGATAATTCTTGACGGTAAAATAATTTTAGATATTCATATTTCGATGTAATTTTTTTCGTTGATTTCAAATCTGACCCCAATTTATTAAGGGCGCAGCGCGTATATTCCAGATCTTTTATTCATTGAAAACACGGGTCTTCAAGCATAATTTTCAATGAGGCGATAAACATTTTTGATGTATTTTTTTCCCTAGAATACGATGATGTCATTTGTTTTATCATAAAAATTACATAGCAAGCGATACAAGCGAAAAACCACTGGAAAGTCGTTTGATTTATCAAAGAAACACTTGAAAAAAGCCTCCGGGCGTTCGGTAAGTAATTTTTATGAAAAAATCATTAACACCACCGTATTCTACGTGAAAAATAACAGCGGAAACGTGTATCACATTATTAAAAATGATGCGTGGAGGGTCGTGCACTTCAAAAAAGTAAAATATGGAATGTAAGTTTTGCAATGTTAAGAGACACTTGGTTACTGAATTTATAGCGGGCTAATACAAATTAATTCCAATAATGTGATGCATGTTATCGAAAAGTATAAACTTTACAGAAAAAAATTAATACTATAAAGAAAACAATTCAAATTACTCAAAGTATGCGCGTGAATTTTTACAGAGCTGTCTCGAACATTTTTGGATTTTTGAATTTTGACTATATTTCGAAGAAATAAAAAAATTTTACTAAAAATTCTGACATAATTTCTGCGAATTAACTGAGTAGGAAGAATCAAAGAACATTATGTTTGTTTTTTGTTTTGCATAGTTATTATTTGTTTTTGTCTGTACAACAACAATTTAAAAATTTTAAAATTTCATTTGTTTTGATATTTTCATTTTTTTTATATTCTTCGTTTTTCTTTTTATTTGTAATGTTGAAATATTTTTCTGCTGCAACGGGTTCCGATTTAATTAATTAATAAAATCGGGCCCGTTACACTACTTATTCTACAAGTGCTACTCTTTACTATGAGCAGCTTGAAAACAAGTTTTGAAGTGATATAGTTTGCACCCTTTACAAATCTTTGTAGTCCCTATATACAAGATACAAAAATTTACAGCTGTGTTAATTTACGATTTTCTTGTTGTTTTTCAGTAATGCATTTAATAATCAAAGCGTGTTAACGATTACTTTATTCTTACTCGAGATAGTCGTTTTGTTAAAAGCTTTGATTATCAACAAATATTAACAAAAATATGCATATGAA